TTATATAAATATAATATATAATATGTATATATAATTAAATCTACTTCTTAGATTTAAGTATCTAACCCATAATTATTACTCATTTTTATTAAAAGTTACTTAAAAAAAAAAGAACTTTTGAGTAGGATAGGTACCTACCTGTGCTGCGCACAGGGACGGCGCCAATCATGGGGGCAGCCCCTAAACTTTTGAAAAATATTTATTATCATACTTTAATTTTTATTTGTTAAAAATTTTGTTTTTGTAGTATAAATTTCACAAACCATTTCAAATATAGAGAAAATATTTAAAACCTAAATAAAAAGTTTTCAAAAAATAAAGAAATGATTTAAATAAAATAAACTTTGTATCAATTTAATTAATTAGGAATTTGGGTTTTTTAACATTTCCTCATCTATTAAGACCCTAAAAAAAAAACCCTTTGATTCTTTATCTAAATAATTCTAAATTTATAGTTTTCTTTAGTATTCTTTTATTTTCTTTCTTAATATTCTATGTAATAATTTAAAACTTTTTTTTTTTGCATTGAGTTATATTTTTACATTTCATGATTGAATTTATAATTGTGTTTTTTCAGATTAATTAATTTGAGTTAAAGTTTACAGTTTAGAAGTAATATTTTAGTATAATTTTATAATACTAGTTTTTTTTTTTTACTCGTGCGTGCGGTTCCTTATATTGGAGCTTGCATTTTATATTATTTTTTATCAATTCTTAAATTTTATAATAATTTTTTAGTTAAAATATTTTAATTAAGTAATTAACATTGAGTTTAAAATTACTTTTAGTAACTAGGAATAGTACTTTTTCAAAAAGTTGTACAAAGCCATATTAAAAAGCAAGAATATTAAAAGAATTCAAAAATATTCAATATTAATCTTCATCTCATAATAAAAACAAAAATCATTTTTCTTTTTCTACTATTATGTCAATTAATAATTGGTCAAACTCATAGTTAGTCTTTAAACTAAAAAAATCTTTGATTTAGTCCCTAAAATTTTCAAATTTGACTCTAAATTAGTCATTTCGTTAAAAAATAACTGACATATCCGTTACTTGACAACAAAAGGCCGTTAATTAACGGCCATGTGTTGCATTAGTAATAGGATACATTAATTATTTTTTAATAGAAGGACCAACTTGGAGTTAAATTTAGGAACTTTAGGGACTAAATCTGGAAATTTTTTAGTTCATGAGCTAAGTCTAGGGTTCGTATAATAGTTGAGAGACTAAATTAAAATAAAGATTTAACCTTAATAATTTATATGAAATTTTCTTTTATTTCAATTAAAGGACTAAACTTAAATAAGAATATAATTAGATTCTTTCAAATCTTGCATTTCAATTGCTTTAAAATTATAATTAAATAACAAATAAAACTAAATAACACTCTTATTAATCCATTGATAAGTGCCTTGTTAACAAATTGTTGATGTTATCTGATGTTACAAGTTAAATTTAGAGTAATTTATTCAAGTCGAAAATTTTGTAAGTGGATTTGTCTCTTTTTTGTCTAAGAGTGGATTCGTCCCTATTACCCAACTATGGGAGTGGATTTGGGCATTTTGCCTATTTTCTAGTTATTTTAGCCCATGCCTTGCATGAGATTTTATTTTATTTTATATTTATATTATGTAATTTTCATTTATGTATATTTTTATGATAAACTTATTTTAAAGAAAAGTGAATGGTATTTGTTAATTAGATTGGAGGACAAAAATGTTGGAGTTTTTTGTATTATATATTAGAAAATATGTTCTTGAATCTATATTGCACCAAAACATATTTTCTCACCTTAAAGTAATATTTTGTTTTTACAACTCAAACTATACTTTTATAGAGTCTTATTTGAAAAATTAAGCTCTTATATATTATAAATTTAAGTTCTAAAACTCTTTCAATTAACCGAAATTTGAGGTTATTTCGACTTTATAACATTAAATTTGTTAGGTTTGTCTTATCTTTTCTCTTTTTCCAATTTTTAGTGATTCATCTTAAGCCATAAAATATATTTAGTTATAATAGTCTTTATTATTTGACTCGAATTTGAAGTCTTATTTATTTATTTAATTTTAAACTGCACAGTAGATTTAACTTTTTATCATCTATTTACTTGAATACATTAAGTTGTTTAAGTAATTAGTTTTGAAGTCTCATTTATATTAGTTATATTAGTTTTATTTTAGTCCCTTTTTTGCTAATAAATGGGTGATATGCTACCTAAGTTTTTTTTAAAAAAATTTGTGTTATTGACAGTTAATGTTGTAATAAAACAACAGTTGTGATGTGTATCATATTTACTTTTGACCATCAATAGTAAATCATAATATAATAGTTACAATTGAAATTACATTTTTCATTAAGGAATTTTTGTACATTTAAACATTTTACCTTTCATACTCACTTGTACTTTATCTTTGAGTTGGTCGATAATGGTAATATTAAATAACAATAATAATACTTTTATCTTTTACATATTACCTCATATGTTAATATAAAGATAACCATGTCCAAATTATTAGTAAATTGTTTTAGTTTTTTTTTTATCATTAGTTTTAAAATTAATGTTGACAAAATATAACAATTATCTTGTATATGTTACATCATTAATTATGTGTCTCTTGATCCTCCATTATCAGCTATACTATAATAATTTTAATTGAGGTTACATTTTTATTAGTTAAATAAATTATAATTGAATTTTTATCTATTCATAACCTTTCACTGTACTTGCTCTCTTATATCTATGTTCCTTTAATTCATCAACATAAGATGTTTTTATATAAAGGAAAGATGAAAAGAAAAGTCACATAATTTTAGAAACAATAAATATAAATATCAGCCATTTAGGGTTCTTTAATATTGTACATATAATTACTATACATTATAATTCTATAATTTATTCTCACTAAGTTATTTTCACTACTACATTTTAAGATTGGATCATCAACTAAGAAACATTGTCGGCATGAATGATGATATGGATAATTGTTTGTTTGTCTTTAAACATCGAGGTCAACCACTAGGTGGAAAAATGCGTAGGCGTGCACTGTCACCCAAAGAACTAAAGGCAGCAGAACTTTATGTTTTGCTTAATTGTGAAGTAGTTAATCCATAGATTGCGTATGTTTTCTAGTTCTAACTTTCGTTTGTTTAAGTTACTAGTATGTATAGATTGTTTACTCCAACTTCTTCATGTAGGCTTTTTGATTATCAAGTATGTTCTGGTCTATCAGACGATCAAATTTAAATCAAACGGCAACTTGAATTTATTCCTTGGTTTAAGACAACGGTAAGTAATTTATTTTAATAATTTTTATTATTAAGATCTCAATTTTTATATATTTTAGGGTTAAATATTAAATATTTTTATAACAAATGTAGGTGCGTAATGGAAGATATGAGGTTGATTCTCGCCTTTTGCCTTTAGTAATTAGCCCAGTCAGTAATGTTAGGGTATACAATGATTATTGGGTTAATGGATTTTGGTTTCATACTATCGCATATGGACAAAATAAAAAGACCATGAATAGCAATGTTTGTGTGAAGGGAACCACTTTCACTGATGAGTCAGATTATTGTGGGAGTTTGGAGGAAAGAATTGAGCTTCAGTATTTTGACTCATATGTTCATCAATCAGTGCTTTTGTTCAAGTGTGAGTGGTATGATATCAACAAAGGCATCATGGTCCATCTGACATCTGGTATAGTTGACATAAATCCTCGATTTAAATTACAAATAGATGAACCATTCATATTGGCTAGTTAAGCTCAACAAGTGTTTTGTGCCCGTTACTCATCTCAAAATCCTTGTAGAAAAGGGTGGTTTTCTGCATGTAAGATTAGAGCAAGAGCAATAATTGACACTTCATCATTGAGTGATGATGGAAATGTTTATTATCAAGACGATGATCCTCCTATGCCACAATTGGTGCAACCTTCGACTATTTTAAATGATCATGTTTCACTAGCATCTCAAGGGGGAGAACAAGTGGTGATTAGTAAGGTCATGCAATTGCCATATGTGGCAGAGGAAGAATGTGTGGGTGAGGATAATGATGAAGAGGAAGAGTTTGATGGAACGGAAACATCAGAAGAAGAAGTTTCAAATTAGTTAACCGAGAGTGATAGTGACTAAATGTATCTTAGTTGATTTTTTTAATTAATTGAACAAGGGATGAAGGACTACTTATATTTTCTTTATTATGTGTTTCCATTAATGACTTTTATATTTATATTTATATCAATATACATTTATAATTCTTTATATTGATATTTATAGTGAAGTTATATTTATATTGA